GCGCTCACTGCTATTGGTGTATTCTTTTAGATCATCCAATAGCAGCGAGAGCTCATTGATCCGCTCCGCAACAGTTGAGTCTGCTGAACGCGACCATTGATACTTGAGTTGACAAAAGTCGAGTTTTGGAACGCACCCCAGTAGGTGATCCTTCTTTTCCCGCCTTTTCGGCCACATAGGCGCATACATGTGCAATGGTGAGTTCTGATGAACCACTTGCTCGTGGCGGAGCGTCTCGACTCGGGTGTTAGCTATTGTATATTTTTGAAAGTGTTGCCGACTTTGACCGAGCATTGAAACATACATAATCATCCCGCGGTCTTGGACGACCCGTTCGGTCGTCCTGACGCGCGTCCTTGCAGCGTGACGACGCCGTAGACGCAGGCGCCCGGTGTTCGAACGGGCTTAGCCATTTTCGCAGGTGTTGCATCATTTTTTTTTAACACACGGAAAACAGTCATAAACATACGGTTATTACTATTGTGACGAGATCTGGCCGTATCGACCTCCTTTTACATTGTTTGGAGGCGGGAGCCATTAATTAAAGAAGAAGAAGAAGAAGTGTGCAATGGTGTCATGTGAGCCATGAGATTGAGCACGAGCATGGTGAATCCAAGGTAATCCTCTATTTTTCCTCTCTTATATTAGAAAAAAATATAAAATAAAGAATGCAACATTAATTTTGTATTTATTTAGAATGATATTTTTTCGAATATTGGCTAATTAATCGTACAATAATTACTTTTAAGATTAGAGGTTACGTTCGTGAAGTCGCACCTAATATCTTTATTATTCAAAAGATGAATATTGGCATAAGAATAAAAACATAAAGTTTTTGTATAATTGTTGCATTTCACAATGTAATTAATATTTTTAACTCGCCGACACGCGTAAATACAGTTTGATCTCCTTAACTTGTTAGAATATATACGTTGCATACATAATGCCCATGGTGTATCATTTCATTCAATTGTTATTTATCTTTTAATAATTAATCTTTTTTTTCAGTTGTCTAATCAAGCTGAGCCATTTGTGAAATAGCGTAATGTCGTTGCGTTTGGATTAGCGCCGAGCCACTACCGTGTCTCCCAATAATCTATAACTGGAATCTAACTTTTTGGAAAGGATCCTTTTTTCGTATTGCAAGGTAAGACAAATTTTCTTTTTATTTATAAAAAATAAGTTTTTTTAAGCTAATTTATGTGAATTTTATTAAAAATAATAAAATATTTATTTTTAAATAATGAAATAAATGTTATTTTTGCAGGTGCAATCAGAAATTCACATGCGAATGCAACAGAAGAGGATATTTCTGCTCCATTAAAAATATGGTTAGCCC